CACACACACACACACACACACACAAAACACATACACACATGCACACACATACCCAATCACGCGCACAGAAAGACACAAATAAATAAATAAATAGACATGTGTGGTGAAACCAGAGAGTCTGTATACTAGCGTAAGCTCTCTGGTGAAACGACTGGGCTCTTCGCCCTCTATCCAACTCAGCCCCCGGTTGGCTGGGATAGGCAGGGTCAAAGCAGTCTGCCCTCTCTAAACAAACACAATTGTGTCGACGAAGATGTAAATCATTTATGCACGTCAAACATGCGGTGCCCATTGGCAGGATCGGTTCGGTTCGGTTCGGTCGTTCAAATCGAGTCGGCGCTTGCCATATTTTCCTCCATTGAAAGGCAAAAGCTATCAACGGATTTGTTTTTAAGGCCACGAGTCGACCGAACCGATCTTGCCACTGTGCACTATGCACAGCCCATAAACAATCAGACTCCACGAGGGCTCCACGTCCTACACTTCATACCATCAAGTTCGGATTTGAGTAAAGGAAAGGACATCAACACAATGACAGTCTTTTATAGTTAGGGGAAAAAGCTAGACGGATGGACAAAATATGGAAAGCAAAGGAGTAGGACCTAGGATACCAGAAAGTAGGACCTACCAAAGGAGTCCTCTAACCATCCACTGTTCATACAATACGTCTTCAGAACCCACAAACACAGACGTAGATGTACACACAAACACACAGACTCGTTTTAAGGCACTTTTGCAACACAGGCCATATAACTTCATAAGAGATGGACATTAGAGGTCTTACAACAGGATAACAAACACAAAAGATAGAAAGAGAAGGATGATGGATGTTTGATGGAAAAGAAGGCGCAAACCCCACAAGAGCAGCCACCAGCCACCCAATGGCAGAAACAAAAGATGGAAAGCGAAGAAGTATGACCTACTAGAGGCACCCCCCAGCCATCCACAGTCCATACAATTAGCCTTCAAAAGACCTGCAAACACAAACGTACATGTACACACAAACACACAAGACTCAGAGACGGTGTTCCCCAGCCAGCACCTACCTCATGACTGTGACTAAACGACTGCTTCATGAGCTGCTGCGTGTGCTTGAAGGAGCCAGCCTTGCTCCAAGTGCTGTGTCCGCCCATGCCGCTGCCAGACGCCTCACGGTCCGCAGCCCGCTGGGGACAAACCAACATACGGAATCAGGACTCTGGTTTAAGTCGTGAGCGTTTTACGGCACTTGCTACACAGTTAGATCACATAAGTGTCAAAGATTAAAGTTGTTACAAGAAAGCAACATGCTAAGGAGAGAAGAAAAAGAGGACGAAATGACGACGAGCGATGTTTCAGAGGAAAGAAGGAGCAAAATGTAGTTATGATGAGTGTAGAACAATAAACTTGAAAGTTGTGTTAAGATTCAAAGCTGCTGTACCAGACAGTGGCAAACTACAGTCCGCAAGCATTTTCAGTCTGGCCAGCGCGTCGACCCAAATTAACAATGGATGAAACCCGCTGTGATTTCATAATAAAAACCAAAACTGTCCATGCTACTAAAATAAACAACTCTCGGCCCAGCTGGACGCAATAGATCTAATGTTGTATGCCATGAAATACCCTTCAATGACATAATGTATGTCCTATAGTGTCTCCTTTAATTTCATTTTTTTTTTAGAGCTTGGGTATTTTAACCAATTTCACCAAATTTTCTTCCACTTTGGCCAACAAGCTATTCGGGTTCGCGTGATACGACCCACCACCTGGACACGTTTGTTCATGCCTGTATGTTCGTCTTTATCGTGGTGTTTTTTGTTTGTTTTGTTGTTTGAGGGGGGTTGTTGTTTTTTTGGTTTTTTGGGGGGGAGGGTTGGGGTTGTTTTTTTGTGTTTT